TGATACCGGAATCACACAAGGCCAGAACCAAGCTACAATCGTTAAGAATTGAAAAATAAATACTATTATAACTTCTACATGCTGTATTTCCGAGAACGCATCATGGAAATCGCCGCAAGACAAATAATCTGCATCTCCTTGCACTTGCACACGTAAGTTCATGATACCAAGGGAATATATTAATACCGCGATGATACAAAATATACCCAGCCTCTGCATCAATAAGATGTCTAAAGACATCAGGGATGCACACAGCCAAGAAATAAAATAAAGAAAGAGAAAAAAGAAAACAAAGACCCCGTCACGGCTGTGTTGAAACACTCGCAATAGTAGCACTCTAACCACCACCGAAGACAACACATGTACAACAAACGAGATTCTCCAAAAGCAACACCTTCAAGAAGGAAAGAAAACACAAACGTTGTCATTGCCCCATCAATGATCTTGGGTTTTCATCCTGGAGAAAATCCGAGTTCCAAAACAATGCCTTCAGCAACGCAGGCCAGACCTTGGGTTTACACCCTGAAAATCGTGGCTCGGTACTCAAAGAGTACCACCAAGAATGTAGTTCACATGTGTTTCCACCCCCGTTTGCCAAGGCTGCTACTGCGAGTCCCCAAACAACCGGCACACAGGGAGAGCATGTGCCGCATTGTCTTCAACACAACCAGTACCCTCTCTGCCAATACCAACCTCCGATCGCAGCCACCACGATGTCTCCGCCTCTGTCAGTTTCATGAAAATCTATATTAAGACATGTCACATGGTACCGATAGGAAGGCGAAGCTTCATGCCTCGCCTAAATGAAGCCACTCTAGCTGAAGATAAGGGCGTACATGACCGCATCAAATACGCTCTAGATATCGAATATCATCCCGGAAAAAAAAAGAGGATGTCCCAGGAGTCAATGAATATATGTCCGATCGCACCCACCATGATGTCTCCTTCTCTTTCATGAAAATCTATATTAAGACATGTCACATGGTACCGACAGGAAGGCGAAGCATCAAGCCTCGCCCAAATGAAAGCCACTCTAGCTGAAGATAAGAGCACACACGACCGCATCGATTCCGCTCTAGATACCGAATATCATCCTTGAAAGAAAAAGAGGATGCCCCGGGAGTCAATGAATATATGTCGCAGTAAACATGGTGATACCTTGGAAACAATGTACTTAGTTCAACATGAACCATCAAATACCCAACATTTTAGCGCCACACGAATGATGATCTGGAAATTGCATAGTGCTCTGCATGTAGCCTTCTTGGCAATTACAGGATCAGGTAATCTCAATTCTGCCAGTGAAACGTTTGGATATCTGCAGACTCCAACGGCCTAATTTGACCCTGAAAATGAGTTCCATACCTTTTGCTTCAATTTAC